TTGATGAGGACTTGCTGACGAGTAGGCGATTTGTCGCTCGTAAAGGCGACATTTACACATAGCGCCCACCTTAGCCAGCGAGTCTGCTTTCTCATTGCCCGGGATAGAGCAATGAGAAGGGACCCATGCTAAGGTGATGATATGTGAGGTGTTTGATAAAGCACTCAGTGACGATCGTATTTCGTTCAGGAAATACGTCGAGTGCTTCAGCGGCCTCAGAACGCATGGCCTCCAGAGGACTTAGACTATCCGAAAAAAATTAAATAGTGATCAGGGAGACGTGAGGAGATCTGCTACATATAACGCATACAATATAGCTGCTAGTTCTGCAACGTATACCGAACATGGTTTTTGGAGCTGATATGAGGCGCTATGGAGATCATTATATACACCAAAACCAGTGGACGTATTTATTGTGGACCCATCACTGAAAAATCTCTTCTCGGCATTGACGTGGCGGTATTTGTTCGCGAAGATGGATGGTACAATCAGGGGGCGATGGGGCTCTGGTATTCCTTGAATTACCTCCCTCATTGAGAAATCGAATCTTACGGAATAACAACTGAAATCGTGGGATACTTCATTGGTATTGAACGGGGAGGGGCTAATTTCCAGAGCCATGTACTCGTAGTACAAGCTCATTAATCGTGTTTGCGAATTTCGCTCAAGCAGCTTCTCAAAATTCTCGATCACCAACGGGTTCATAACTACACAGCGGATAAGGAACCAAAACGACAAATTAAAGCATTTACACGATTTTTTAAAGTTTTGTGTCCGAACTTCAGCATTTTGATTTGGGGTTACTTTGATAATGCTCGATGAATGTAGAAAAATGGGTGAAACTCAAACATTTTAGTTCTTAAAATACGAAACATTGAATGAGTAGGGTAACCAACTGATTTTGGACCCCTAGAGGAAGTGAGATCACGTTTATGTCAAAATAATATTATTTGTTTATTATTATTATGCAATTTACATGCGGTTGTGTTCGAAAGCTACTCATCTTGGATGTAAAATGTCACTAGATGTTTTATTTATTGATATATACTCGAAAAATAATTCTTTTCACATCATGATATTCACATATTTTGGACCCTTCCACTTGATTTTGGACAGTGTCCATAATATATTTTGGACACACTGAATGGGAACGAATATATTTTGGACATGCTGAAGTTCTTTCAACCTATGAGCCTAAAATTAATTACGACGGTCACTTCTTCCTATCTCGCATTTGTTAGGTCCGTCTAGGTGGGAAAATTTTCAAAGAAGGTACCGTAAAACGGGGTGAAATTGATCAGCGGGGTGAATTTGATCGCTAAGTATACCCAATATTGTACTTATGCATAATATTTTTACAATGTATACAAAGATACATTCGTACGCTTAGTAACGAAAAACATGTTACACATGAAAAAATATCACGAGAAATTTCAGCGATCAATTTTGCCCCGCTGATCAATTACACCCCGTTTTACGGTATGCATAAAAGTTAACCCCCCGTTACTCGCGCTGTTGTACTTTGTACAACACATATGAGTTTTCCATTGTCATTTTGTTGCTGCCAATCGATCTGAAACCAACTTGTATTCCTCAAAAAACTTGTTTTGAACTAAAAAAGCTAAACTTTGATTACAATTAACCCCCAAAATGCGGATAATAGAGAAAATGTGAATGGAAACCGCGTAAACGGTGTCCATACTACGTGGGATTGACTTAATTGGTTACAACATGGAATATCTCGAGATCCTGACCAGATAGAAAGTTACTGTCTACGGCAAAGTTGTTCAGGAGGTCAAAGCCTATTTCTTAGTGTACAATAGTTCAGAATTATCTCACTTCGTGGTGCTAGTATACATGTGAAATTCTCGTGTATAAAATATCTCTAGATCCTGACCAGATAGAAAGTAAATGCCTTCAGCAAAGTTGTTCAGGAAGTGAAGCTCTTTTCGTTGGTGGAGTAGTTCAGAAATTTCACACTACGAGGCGCTAGTATATACGTGTAATTCTCGCATATACAATAGCTCGAGTTCTTGACCAGCTAGAAAGTTACTGTATTGGGCAAACTTGTTCAGGGGGTCAAGACTTTTCGACTGGTAGACAGTAGTTCAGAATTTTCTCACCACGTGGCGTTTGTATACATATACACTTCTCGCATATGATATATCTCGAGATCCTGACCAAATAGAAGTTACTGTCTTTGAAAAAGTTGTTCAGGAGGTCAAAGCCTATTGCTTGGTGTAGAATAGTTCAGAATTTTCTCACTATGTAGTTCTAGTATACACGTTAAATTCTCTCATATAAAATATGTAGAGAGCATGACAAGATAGAATGTTACTGTCTTGGGCAAAGTTGTTCAGGGGATCAAGGCCTTTTGGCTAGTGGACGGTAGTTCAGAATATTTCACTTCATGGTACTAGTATATACGTGCAATTCTCGCATATGATATATCTCAAGACCTGCTAAAAATGTACTGTAATCGGCAAAGTTGTCCAGGAGATCAAACCCTATCGTTGGTGGAAAGTACATAATTTTCTCACTAGGTGACGTTGAAAGACACGTGAAATCCTTGCATATAAAATATCTCTGAATGACCCGCATACTAGTGCCACGTAAAGGGAAAATTCTGAATTACTGTACACCAACGAAAAGATCCTAACATCCTGAACAACTTTGCTTAAGACAGTAACTTTCTGTCTGGTCAGGATCTAGAGATATTTTATATGCGAGAATTCCTCATGTATACTAGCGTTGCAAAGTGAGAAAACTCTGAACTTAAGTCCACCAGCAAAAAGGCCTTGACTTCCTGAACAACTTTGCCGAAGACGGTAACTTTTTATATGATCAGGATTTGGAGATATTTTATATGAGAATTTCACGTATATACTAGCACCATATAGTGAAAAAATTCTGAACTATAGGCTTTGAACTCCTGAACAACTTTTTCGAAGACAGTAACTTTCTATCTGGTCAGGATTTCGAGATATATCACATGCGAGAACTTCACATGTATACTAGCGCTATGTAGTGAGTAAATTTTGAACTACTGTCCACCAGCAAAAAGGTTATGATCTCTAGAACTACTTTGGCAAAGACAGTAACTTTCTATCTGGTCAGGATCTCGAGATATTCCATGTTGTAACCAATTAAGTTAGAACCCTCGTAGTATGGACACCATTTACGCGGTTTCCATTTACATTTTCTCTATTATTCGCATATTTTGGGGGTTAACTGTAATAAATATTTAGCTTGTTTAGTTAAAAGCAAGTTTTTTGAGGAATACTCGTTGATTTCAGATCGATTGGTAGCTCGGCTGCAAAATGGAAATGGAAAACTCACACTGTTGTACAAAGTACAACGCGTGAGTACTCGTGTTACAAAAGTTGGCGCGAGTAACGGAGGAAATATAATATATAACATAAGGAAACAACTGATCATACTATAAAAAAAAAATCATTCAGAAGTATATCTTAATACGGAGAATTGACTCTATGCTTGCAGTCCATATTATTTTTTGTATGGGCTGTTAATAAACTACATAGACGGTTTATGAGAGATTTCAACCCCCCCCCCCTTCCGTAGAAGACAGTCTCAAAAACAAAATTTAAAAAATTGTATGGACCGTAGACATCTGTCAAGCGCTCCCACCCCCCTAAAGCGTCTACGTAGTTTATAAACAGACCCTTAGTTAAATGCGTTTGGGAGATAGGAAAACTTTTGTGGAAAACTATGAACTAGGAAAACTAGGTGTTTTGCCGTTTTTCCCATTTTGAATCGCCTCATAAACAAGAAATATATATAAAAGCAATGAATTCATATAATTTTAATTGATTTACTTACCAATTTAATCAGAAATCTGAGATAATAGCACGATCGACCAAACGGAATTTTTTTTGTCGCTCTTTTGATGATTCTCATTTGATAAGTGTCCAAAAGAAGTTGGTAACATTTTTTTACGATCTTTTTTGGACACTTTTTATTTAATACTTTTTAAGTAAAATCTTAGAGTGAAATCTTTATAAACACGTGAAATACATCTTCCAAAGTCAGATAAACTGAATTGATAAAAAAAAAATCATTGAATTGTATATATTAGACCAAATTTAAAACAAGTACACTAACGCCGATTCCTCTTGACAAACGTCGAAACATGAAACTTTTTCGATAACATTTTCTAAAACTGCATAAATTGAGCAATTGTAAGCAATTTGAGGTGAACTAATGATCTTGAGACATAGCAAGTAATTGAAAGAATGTGATTACAACATCAACCCAGATCAATTTGAAGAAACTAGATAGTAAGCGAGGAAAATATATGAAAAGGGTCCAACATATGTAGGGGTCCAATTTAAGTTGGTTACCCTATATAATCAGAAAACCTCATAAGCCATAAGAATACAACATTGAATTTGTTATGGCTCTATCAGAAATACATTTCATAGGTGATGGTTTAAGTGCTTTTTCAAACAGGCGAAAAACAAGAAAATGTTTTTTTTTAATATGTCTGTAAAATATTCTACACATACTATATAAAAACTATATACTATATCAACGGAAATACCCGAAACTACAAAATGGAACCAATGTTTCTAATCTGGAAAATTATACAAAAGTACATTATACAATCAAGATTTCGTTGACACTTATTCAGGTAAATTTTATGAATTGTGGTGTTTGTGGAAAACCAATGACAGACAAAAAAAAGCAACTCATTCCCATTTAGTTGTTCAGAAATTGCGATTGAAAAATAAAAATAAATCCACCCGTATGTTCAATGCCACCTACCTCGTTAAGCTAGTAAATCAACTCAGCCGTGTGTTCATTTTCCCCTCTCATTAATCTCAGAGTTAGTTTAGTTTGTATTTTACTAATCATGCATGCCCTAAGTTTAGTTCTACATCTAAAATCGTGCTTTGAAAGATGAACCCCCCCCCCCCCTCGAAACACAACTCACTAACGAGCTCCCTCTCTTTTCAACCTCGTTCCCGACGTTCCCGCAGTGGTGCCAATCGACACCGGAAAATCGGGCGGCAGCGTAACGCACGGTCACGTGCCGGACGGATCGGACCCGGAGATCTACACGCCCCGCATTCCGCCAACGGAGGGCGGCCACGACAGCAACAACCCGTACAGCGGCAGCGGTGTCTTGATCATGAACGCCAAGAATGAGGACAGGACTGCGAGCTTCTTCGCGCAGCCGGGCATTCTCGCAGGTAAGGACTCTTATCGTGCCTTGTGTTGAAATAATAATGAGTTTCTATTCGAAGATTGATGGCCCTCGCTATCATCATGGCAGTGATTATCCCCGTTTTGTTTCGATTTCGCTGCTGCTGCTGTAAACATTGTCCGATTGGAAGGGGGCGGACTAAAATATTCAACAGCACGCGAACCCTGAACAAATAGTATATCCTTTGCCTTGTTTGCTTTCCAAAACAACGATGGTGACTGCGCCGTCGAACAGCATTGATTTGGGAAATTGGATTTAAATTTTAATGACGGTCGACGGAGATAAACCTTCCCGTACCTGCAACTCAGCAGCGGCCGGTCGTTCCGGAATTAATTACAAAGACTGCAAACTTATCTCGTTAGACCCGGTTGCCAGCCACTCCGGGGGATCACCACGGAGAACTTTTCGGGGCTCTGAATTTTAATGCCGTTGCCGGTGATAAGCGTATTGGCAGTTAGCAGCAAGCAGCCAATGAACAATGACGTGTTTTCCGATGAGTAAACACTCTGATCCGTGGGGAATGGAAAAGGGCAGAGAAATGTTGCTTCTGAGTTGGGTTCTTTCGGGTTCGGCTCACGCGAGGAGCCAAAACCCCAAGGTCAGGAATAATAAATTATTTGCGCATTAATAATAACGGTAAATAATGGAAGGAACAATGATGGCGGTTATTGGCTGGGTTGGAAAGGATCCCTTTTATAAGTTGTACAAAGTTGTCAAGGGATTTCGAAGGAAAAGTTTAGACAAATTGCCATCGTTTGGCGGGATTGGTAATTTCTCCTGGGAAAAATTAGTCGGATTATGAAATCGGACGATCGAGATAATTTTAAATTTATATCTGCGAAAACTTTTCCGAGTGGTTTTGCTGGGTTTGATTGGGAATCAGGGGCTGTCCATATTCCGTACACATACAAAAAATTATCTTTTATGGATCATTGGTCACGCTACCTGTGCACACAATTGAAACCAGTGATGGAATTCTCACCAAAATATCATTTTCGCTTGCGATACGTTTTCTCTTGGGAACTTTCCCTCACTAGTTTCACACTCCAATATTTCCTGAGCGAACTTTCTGGGATGAGAGAATGAGATATCGCGAACTTTTTTAACTCGAATCACCAACGTGAGGATACGAAAAATATCAGATCATTTTTTCTCTCTATCTCTTTAAACTACATTCGTTCTTGAAAATTGCACTGCACATTTCACAAGGGAAAGATTATAGACAGAAAGCTATCCCGAGTAAATCAATACAATCTCTAAAGACTGATAAGTCGGGTACCTGGCTGTCTACTGGCGCCTGTTGTTTAAAGTAGCCGTTATCAGGATGATGTGAACAGTTTTGTGCAACTGATTGATTGGTGCATTGGTTTCTGGCAAAAAAAATGAATGAATCAGCACAAGTGTCAACGCGACATTAACGAGGAACGGGGAGGGTAGTGTAAGATTTTGTGACTAGCAATTTTTATATTAAAACCGTTCCTCAGGGTAGGGGGTTGCGGAAGGAGGAGCGCCTAATGTATCCTCATTTTCACGAAATACAGTTAATGCATGGCTCCTCTCATCACTAGTGTTCGTAATATCGTTCCTGTAAGCTCTTATGCAATAATTATATGCAGGAGGATGGTTGGGAATATAGGTGGTGGTGAACTTTTTCACTGTGCTATTACTAAATGTCCTCACCCATGACTGGGAATCCTGTAAAACAATGTAAAACTAGAAAGGGTCTAGACCCTCCCTATGTAAAACCATAAGGTATGCGGGACTGCTGCACTTCAAAACGCTTTATTTGCTGACCAAGGATCTGACAAAAACATCTTTTTAGTGTGCAATTTAGGATGATAAAACTGTACTTCGCACTAATAGCATAGTTCTTCTTGTCAAAGAGTATAGCCACCAATGATGATTTGGTCAGCAAAGATTAGACTCTTGGTGAATAGTTACAAGTATCTACTATTAGCTGGTTGCATTGAGAACTAAAACTATAAATAAATCCGGAAAACTTTGAGATTAGGGCGTAATTTCTTTTGTAAACACACACTTAATTCGCCGATTTCTCGTGAGATTTCTCTTTTCAATCTAAAAAACTAACAACACAGACAGGTAGAGGAATGATTCATTTGGTATAGTATAGTTCGCTAGATTGTGCTTTGATTCGTGAGAAATCGCTGAATGACGTGTTTGTTTACAAAAGCAATTACGCCCAAATCTCAAAGTACTCTGGAAATGGTATTTAATGTGAAGGATGCGAAAAATATCGGAGAACGAGAAGAAAACAAACAGACACTCTCGCGTGATCATCGCCTACCTTTACTCGCTGGAAAAAAAAAGAACAAAGCTGAGGGGATATTTGGTTGGTTCGAATCACGAGTACGTGTGAAATGATGTGAGATGGAGAGACGAAAGATCTTTCACGATAAGAAATGAAAATTTCTCTCGCTCTACGCTTTCATGAACTTTTTATCATCTCTCGTTCGCGAACTTTTTGTGAGAAGTTCCTTTGGGATTTATCTCTGCAATGAGCTGTGATAGAACTTTTTTTGAAAATGATTTTTCCAACACTGATTGAAACCCTGATTTATTACCATGCTTATACTCGAATCGATTGGAACATACAAAGTATTTGTATTTTACAACAAATTCGAGTGTGATATTATATGGCCATACATTAGAATTTCAAAGATTAGTTCTCAGGTAAACAGTGAGGTTACGAAGTGTACTAAATTAAATTATGATTTTAAATACCACAACAAACATTTTGTAGAATCTTTCGAATTTGGATAGATGGGCTTCGATTTTTGGGCACTTTGTTTCTACTCAGTATACACGATGATATTCAGATGTGATGCGATAGAATGTTTATTTGCAACTTAAGCTCGAACTATCGGGTTTTATCGATCTGCGGGAAGATGATCAAAGTAGTAATGTGCGATAACAATCGGCTCCTAGATCGGAAACTGCTATGGTCTGATAAGGTATGCATATGAGCAAAAGCGAGATGACTTCTGATAAGAAATTCGAGCAGTCCCACCCTCCATAAATTACGCTACGCCGTAACATGCAACAAATATTTCTAATTTACTACAGACCACCCTTTTTTTTCGACATCATTAATTTCACTCACTAATACACTCCACATTTTTCGGTCTCCAATTTTCTTGCATTGCACCGCATTCTCGGCTCATGCGGTCTCCACTTACATCCTCTGATGATGAATCCCACATAATTGTAAGCGAAAGTTACATCCCCCGATTGGGTGCACCTGTTTTAAATCATATTTAAAAAAAATTTCAGCCTGGAGGTTATGGCAAAACAGAGTATAATTTGTTATAGAAAAAAAACAAGATTAGTTCAAATCGAATAATATTTACTCTTAGATGTTTGTTTTATGTTAACATGTGTTCTTTGTTCATGTTGTAGCTGAGTCAATTTCAAGCAACTTTGTTGAATACAATTTTTTTCTATCTCTTAACGTTCTCGTTTTAGAGGTATTTTTCGGAGTTGACTTAGGGTGTTCCTGGAAAAAAAAAATAGTTTTTTAGCGCTAACTTTTTTATTTCAAATTTCTCATGAAAGTCATTTTCTAGAGACTTATAAAGCTTTTTACGTTTCATAGCTTGAGTTGTTGTCTGAATATCTTCTAATAAAAAAGACGAGTTTAAAAAATAACGTACCTCTATTTTTTCATATTATTGAAAATAACAAATGCCGTATAAAACATTTTTTTTTGTTTTGGCCAACCAGAGATATTAACATTTGAAAAGGGCATATTTTTAGTAGAAAAACGTCAATAAATCGTGATCAGCGAATAACATCAACAAACTCTGTGCAACAAATATTTGAGCCTTCTAAAGATCTAAAACTTAAGTAACTAGATTTTTTAAATAAGTAATTTTAAATAAGAAAACTAGAGCTGTTTTTTTAGGGGCATCCTACATCAATTCAAGAAAATAGCTCTAAATCGGTCAGTTTCAGAGATACAGAAAAGTTCTTTTTACAAATCTGTTTGAAATTAGCTCAGCTATAAATTTGCCTAAGAATTTTGTTATCTTAATTTCTTCAAACAAAAAAGTTAGATTTTTTATTTTAATGATAATAAGAAACACCCTAGAATTCATTGTCATAAAATATGGGCCTTACTGTAAGGAACAACTTTGTAGAAGACACTTTCAGTGTAAAGTTTCAATTTCAGGCTCAACACATATCCTTCCTCCTGAATCTGCATTCTGGACCACTGTGCAATGTACCACCGATGAAAACTAGAAATATTCAGAGGGAGAGATGGGCGGTAAGAATTTGTATTCTTACTACATTAAATTTTAGAGTATTGCAATCGAACAGAAATTCAACCACCTTTATGTTTCGTGTGCTTCTCAAAAATTTATCTAGTTTTTGGAATCAAAAACAATATTCTAGCTCTATTTATTAATTGATCTTTTTTTTCAACTATTTCGTTTATTTGGAAGGCTCAATCGCGTTAGCTTTACGGAGCCGATAGTTCATTGTTCACTTAATTCTATGTCTAGTAGGTGTTGGGCCAAATACTCGCGGCTTACTCGAGGTTAGAGAGGTACATTGTCGAGGATAGGGTCAGGGGAGGAACTTGGGGGTAAGGTTTCGTTGTCTCATCAGAGCGTTGTCACCAGTATGAACGGTAGTGCGGTTCTAGTTTCGTCTGGAGTTCGACCGGCTATGGTGACCAGTGGGCGACGATGAGACTCATCGAGACGGGGGGACAAGACAAACAAAAACTAATAAAGAGAGACAAAAGTCAAAGTAATTAAATTCTTATAGGGTTTTTGATCTAATTTCCGTGCTTTACCTCTCTTTTCTGAACGAATTTTAACCAAAAATGGAATATTTCTGTCAAAGATGACTTCTAAATTTATCCACCTTTCCATACGTACCGTTGGATTTGATAAAGAGTCACAAATTGTTGAGATATTGTTCAAAATCTAATACTGCTTCTTGATTCTAAATTCGTTCTAC